TTACCAGGATTCGTCATGTATTGACTAACAACTCCCACTGCTTGTGTAATGTCTGATCTTGTACAAATCATCGTGAACATTAAGCTTCCCACTGCTGATTCATACGGTACTCGAGACATCTCCATTCTCTCTTCTTCACTGCTAGGACTCATACTGGAGGATAACTTAAAATTAATAGGAAGTGGGGTAGAAATTAACTTACAATCTTGCATGTTAAAGCGTCGCACGATTTTGTTCAAGTAATTCTTTTGAGAAAGCCAAATCTTCTTATTAATTCTGTCTCGGTAAATTTGCATCCCTAGAATCTTGTTTGCAGATCCTAAATCCTTCATTTCAAATTCCCCAGCTAACTGAGCCTTTAATTCTTGGATACGATATTTGTTGGGGCCTGCAACCAACATGTCGTCAACATACAATAATAAGATAACAAAATTATTTTTATCAAATCTCTTGAAATATGCACAAGGGTCTGAATTAAGTCTGTTGTATCTAAGGCTCAAGATGAATGAATCAATTCTCTTATACCTATACCTCGGCGCCTGCTTTAGACCGTACAGAGATTTGTTCAATCTGCAAACCAAGTTCTCTTTTCCTTTTTCTTCAAAACCTTCTGGTTGGAGCATGTAAATTTTTTCTTCAAGATCTCCATGAAGAAATGCTGTTTTCACATCTAGTTGCTCTAGATGTAAGTCAAATATAGCGCTCATAGCCAGGACTATTCGGACTGTTGTAAGTCGAACTACAGAAAAAAAATATTTTATTAAAATATTTCATTAAAATCAATACCTTCCAATCTAGCACGATATCGCTCCACCTGATCATCGCCATTTCGCTTGATCTTGTAGACCCATTTGTTTCCAATGGTCTTTCTTCCTTGTGGTAGTGACACAAGTTTCCAAGTCTTGTTCTTATGGAGAGCTTCAATTTCTTCTTGCATTGCTACCATCCACAAAGGTGCATCTGTACCATTTATAGCTTCATGAAAAATTGATGGCTCTCCATCTTCTGTTAGAAGACAGTATGCAACATTACTATCCGTAATATACTCCAAGTGCCAAGTCGGTGGTCTTCTCTCACGAGTTGACCTTCGAGCTTCTGGAGCCTTGGACTCGACTGATTCTTGTACATCATGCTCCGGTGTTGCTTCAGAAGCTCGACTGGTTCTTGTACATCATTCTTACCAACTGTATACCCCAACGTTGTGAGTTGGGAGAACAGTGTGTTTAGGGTGTTGATGTGGTCGGTCATCGATGTAGATTCCGCCATCCTAAGAGTGTAAAGTTTCCTTTTTAAGAAGATTTTATTGTGCATGGATTTCGCCTCATATAGCTTTGTTAGAGTATCCCAGATCTCCTTTGCTGTCTTCTTCTCCTCTATGCTTGACAGCACACCGTCTTCTAAATGCTAGATGGAGATTTGCAATAGCATTTTCGTCCATCTCGTTCCACTTCTTATCATCTATGATGTCGTCCGGCCTTGCACTAATGGCCGCCAGGCAATTATTTTTTCTCAAGATAGCCTTTATCTTCAACTTCCACAGTGAGAAATTACTCCCGTCGAATTTCTCGATCTTAAACTTTGCCGCCATTGCTTCTACCATGAACAGTAACTTCTTACTATCTCACGTAAACAGTAACTGTATTTATGAATAGTAACCGTATTCGTGAATAGTACCGTACTTGTGAATAATACCGTATTTATGAACAGTACCATACTCGTGAATAGTACCCGTCTCCTTCAAAGGGTAAATGATAACCTAACTTATTTTCTGATATGGAGGATCCACCCTTGATGGCAGCCACAGAGCATATGATAAGTAGATATATACAAGCACCCTAAGTTGGCTCTGATACCATTTGTTGGGATAAACCCGGGGCCCAATAGAGCAGGGTCGCAGCAATAGTAGAGCAAAAGTAGAGATAAAAAGTTGGACACACAAATTTACGTGGTTCGGCATTTGATTGCCTACGTTCACGGGCAAGGATAGAAGAATCCACTATGAGGAGAAAAACTCTGGAGTTACAAACTTTCTCTCTTTACAAGGAGAAACCCTCTCTATTTTCTCTCTCTCACTCTTCTATATAAGAAGTTATTTCTGGGATGAATTTTTTCCTTAGGGGGGGTTAGTCACCTAGAACTTTTTAAGTAGAACTGGGATAATTGGTAAAGTGAGATAATTTTTTGACACTGGGATAATTTAGTGGAACAATGATGGGTAATTCTTAAAGTGAGATAATTTGGTAGGATAATTTGATGGGATAATGATAGATAATATTATGAAGTTGCATAATTTGGTAGGATAATTTGGTGGGGGTAATGGTGGGTATAAATTACTATTGTTAATAATTGTATATTAAAAATAATATAATATTGATAAGCAAATTCTAGTGATAACTATAAAATATAATATAATAAAGCATTACTATTCATCTCAAATAATAAAATAATTTACAAATAAATAAAAATCTAAATCCCTAGAGTGACTCGACTTCCATCATCCCACATGGCATCTGTCATAGAATTTCTCCAAACTCCTACAGCTGCTCGTTGAGTCCGTAACTCATCTTCTTTATCGGAGTCATCGTCTGCATCAGCAACATTTTGTGGAGCTTCTAGTGGGGGATCATAAATGTCGAAGTTCAAATCTCATAACATCATAAAGAAAGAAACTTAAGCATTTTCAGCCATTAACCCTTTGGACCAATCTCATCATGATCGCTGAAACAAAATCAGCAAATAAATGAAATGTACACAGGAATCATCTGTGGCCGCTAAATAGATGATCGACAGATGAACTATAAATATCCCAATCAATTTACTAAGCCGATTTAATAATAATAGATATCACCATTAACCATTCAACATCTAATTATCAATGTGATCGCAAAGTTGCTTTCTAACTTATAAAAAAAACATAAATAGCCCGCATATCTTTAGCACTAACCCACCAACACTATATTCTTAACCTAAACCACGGTTGTGGAGAGAAAACTTAGATCAAACAAATAATAATAAAGTAATTTAACGTCAAAAAACTATCAATAAAGTAATACATCTTGAAGATAATAATAAAAGATCTAATCATCACAAAAACAAAGTAAATACAGAAAAATGAACGGATGATTGACTTCATGGCAGAGAAATTTTAACCAAGAGGGAGGGAGGCGACGTTTCACTTTTTTTTCCCAATTGTATTCTTTCCAATGTGTAGGATAATTTGAGAGAGGAGAACTTATGGTTATATATATAGGTAGTATAATTTGTGGGATAATTATGACCAATTATCCCAATTCTAATTCTAGTAGAATTCTACTTGACTAACGCACAAAAAAAATAATACAGTTCTAGTTCTACAAAAGTTCTACTTGACTAACACTATAAAAAAATATCTCATTTCCTAGTTTTATGTGACTAACACCTTAAAAATTTATCCCACAAATTATCTCAGTTCCAGTTTTAAGTTCTAGATGACTAACCCCCCTTAAGGATTTGGAGCATATTTATAGGATTTGAAAAAATACTATGCATAATAAAATAATAATAAATTACTATACTGTGGGGCCCACTCTTTTGTTTTCTTTTTCAATTGTCAAAAGGTGGGTGCGCGCTCTTGTCAAAAATGTGCGGCTGTGCTTTCGGTGATGGTAGACGCCTGACAAAAGCTGCATTAAAACTTGAGGATTAAATCACAAGAGGAAATACAATATTACTTCTAGGTCATCAAAACTCTAAATCCCATATCAACACAAATCCTCAATACTTGCGAAGAAATTAACATCGTACCATTGACAACGTCATCGTTCTGAAGAAGTTGATATTTGAGTCACTGCAATTGGACAATGCAATTGGACAATCAAGCAATCCAAAAATTAACTTTTATTTACTCTTCATCTCTTTTCCTTCCCCTCTCCTCAATATGCGTGCAAGAACAATTCTTGCTCTCGGCTTTTTAGCTATACCAGGTTTCTTCCCGAACCAAGTCCCTTTTAATAAGGAACAATTTTTCAAAACAGTCCCTTTTAAATTTTTATTTTTCAAAATCGACCCTGTTTTATTTTATTTACCAAAACCGACCCGTTTTTTTGATTAGCAGCCTAATCACATTCCTAAATAGTCGGGGTTGCCAACCCCGACTATTTAGGACTTAAATTTGTATGGTTTAAGGCTTCTAATTAGGGTTTAATACCCTCCTAAATAGTCGGGGTTGGCAACCCCCACTATTTAGGAATGTGATTAGGGTGCTAATAAAAAAAACGGGTCGGTTTTGGTAAATAAAAAAAAACAGGGTCGATTTTGAAAAATAAAAATTTAAAAGGGACTGTTTTAAAAAATTGTTCTTTAATAAGGGATAATTTTCCTTAGGTTCCTCAAGTCTATTTCTATTACAAATAGATCCCTCAAATCTCTCTTTCAGTAGGATTTGATCAATCTGACCTAATGCATATAGGCCCAACTTGAGCTCCCGTAACAATTGAAAATAAAGTATTCACTAGAACAAGAGTTAAAATGATAAACAAGTCGAGAACTCCGACATGCAACATTTCACGTGATTAGTCCAAAAGTTTATTTATAAATTTTGGTTAGTATATCATATTTTCCAACATAGAATATCTGCTTAAGCTTATCCCGGATAATCTGAATAGTGGGGAGGATTCAATATGGCTCCGATGATTTTGGGTTTGATTCCGGGCCTTATTATATTTTTCTTTTTTTTTTCAGAAAAAACCTGATTAGTTTTGTTACTTATTCAATCAGCCTGCTATTAAAGTTGGCCCTTGTGCTATTATGGGCTTAATCGATCTGCTAAAAAATGTCCTCGAACTCTCTTGTTGTCTCTAGATACAACCATCTGGAACTTTTACAGGTCTCCCTCGAACTTTACTTCACTTTTTTTTTAAGTGGGTGGAAGCAGATAGATAGATATCTCCAGATCCTTCCAACTTGATAAATAAATAAGTTTGTCTGCCGCGCTCTCTCTTCATTATATTGCAGAGAAGCAGCGCTCTGATTCCACCAAATTGAGAGGAAAGAAAATTTTCGTCATCCGGTAAGGCTTTGGGACTTTTCTGCAGAGAGATGGCTCTCATCCCGCAAATCTTCGGTCAGAGGAGCAATGTCTTCGACCCCTTCTCCCTCGACATCTGGGATCCGTTTCAAGGCTGGCCTTTCGACTCTTCTCGCTCTCTGTTTGATTCTTCTCGTCTCGGTGGTGCGCTCAGCGAGACCTCTGCCTTCACCAACACTCGCATTGACTGGAAAGAGACGCCCGAGGCCCACGTTTTCAAGGCCGATCTCCCCGGGATGAAGAAGGAAGAGGTCAAGGTGGAGGTCGAGGAAGGAAGGGTTCTGCAGATCAGCGGAGAGCGGAGCAAGGAGCACGAGGAGAAGAATGACAGGTGGCACAGGGTCGAGAGGAGCAGCGGCAGGTTCTTGAGGAGGTTCAGGCTGCCTGAGAATGCCAAGGTGGATCAGGTGAGGGCCGCGATGGAGGACGGCGTGCTGACTGTGACCGTGCCCAAGGAGGAAGTTAAGAAGCCTGAGGTGAAGGCTATTGAAATCTCTGGCTGAAAGCCCAGTGCGTTTTCTGTTCGCGTGTTGAAATATTGTGAGTCCGGGTGTGAGGTTTGTGCGGGTGTGGACTGTTCGTTTTTGTGTTGATCATGGTCTATATGGCTGTTGTGTGATGAATGTGTGTGATTGTTGGGAGTATGAACAAACCTAAGTTCTGGTGCTGGATGAGCTAATAAGAGATGATTTCGTAAGATATTTGCAGAAGTTTTTGTTGTGCGTTCATATGTTCCTCGGCTTGAGCCCTGTTTTGGAGTGATTAGATTATCGCACTGGCGTAAATTTTCTCTTTGTTTCTTTAAACAAGAAGATGTATCTCCATTGTTTCATTTGAATTGTGAAGCCCGGACCATACAGAACTAATTCCACATGCCGACGCCCAAACGCAGATCACCTGCCAGGAGTCTGTACTGCTAGCGGACGAAGTGGGCGTTGTGTGAAATGTGGATGTGTTAAAAATGGAGGGGGAATGGTGGTTGACAAATTATGTTGATTTTTTCTTTTGGGTGGTTCTTTTGATCCTGGCAAGACTCCTCCTGTTGCTTAAAATACAGTTTGTGAGAACCAGAGGAATGGTAAGAGGTATCGATTATAAGACAGAGATGCGTGTTATATTTGAAATGATAAATGACTTAACATATCTCTTTAAAAAAAAGAAGATCGATTAAACGCTAGGCAAAATTTGCAATTTGGTTTAGGAATGCGGATACGTAATATTATTCTGTTTCATTGAGAATCTTAACTCTTGCGTTTACTATTGTGTGCATTCTTATAGGAGTGTGGATGAGTGTGGATGGTTGAATTCTGAAGGATAAGTTGTCGTTGTTAGAGCATAAAAATATAATTCTTAATCTTTATTGTAACTCAGAGTTTTGGTGTAATGCTTAGAGAAATTAACATTAAGATAGTATCACAGTAGTCTAAGTATAAATATCACCATAAAATTGACACTGCTACTTGTTCAGATTTCTACCCATCAAAAGGATTTCTAATTTGTGGGGCCCACATTGTGAGAATAGAAAAATATAATCATCTATCCAATTCAAAATTTTGGTGTAATGATTAGAATGATTAAGTTTAAAGAGTTGTTGCCTTACTACGTCAAGAAATAAAAATAATATGTGATCTATTCTTGGACAATAAACTTGCACGCACTGAGGGCCTTGAGAGAAGTTCTTTTTAATCTTGAAAGTTTGATTTTATTTTCTTTAGTAATAAACCGTTATATTTTCACAAATTGAGAAACCCCATTCCCTCTTAAACATAAAAGGCAAAATATTATTTAGAATATTTTTTCCAAATAGAAAATATATCTTATCATTTGAAAGGCATGCAAAAAGAAAAAAAAAGTCCTATCTAACAACCAATATTCATTAATCTTTACACATTTGTTAGCTATTGTTTATTTGTCAACCATTTTAACGCAATATTGTGCAAGTTTATGGGACTGTTTGGTTGGATGAAAATAAAGTTGTAAATGTAAATAGAACAATCGAATTTGTAAATATATTACTTCATTCACAACTTTACAATTAGGAACAGTAAATGGACTTATATTTTGTAGAAAAATTGTAGCAAATGCTATAGTCAATTTGACCGGAGGAGACTTTATAGAATTCAAAAAAAAAAAAAAAAATTCTACCTAATCAAAGAAATCTTTTTAAATGCAAACAGTAAAACCATCTACATCTAAGTTTTCTTATACCACAAAAATTTATAGCCTTTGACTAATTGTTTATAATCAAACACTAAACTTGTATATAAAAATACATTTTTTATAATATAATTGTAGATATCTAAACATTAAAATTTAGATTTGATTTCTGTAAAAAATGATGCATGCAACATTTGCTGTAATTTATTTTCACATCAACCAGTGGCCCAACATGTGAAACTACGGTAATTCTCCTAACTTACTGCTTATGTTTTTTAATAATGCTGCTCCCTTATATTAAACTTCTAATTATTACTTTTTAGTGAAAACATAATTACCATATTTTACTAATAATCCTTTTCATGTGAATCTAAGGTAACCAAGCATATCCCAGTATGTAAAACTACGGTAGTTCTCCTACATTATTGCTTATGTGTTTAATAATGTCGCTCCCTTATATTGAACTTCTAAATATTTTCTTTTCAGTGAAAACATAATTGCGATATTTTAATAATAATTTTTCCATGTAAATCTAAGGTATATTCTTCTACATTATTGCTTATGTGTTTAAATCATGAACTTCCCTTTTCTTAGGATAACATGAAGTTCCCTTTTATTAGGATAAAATGATCATTTTCTTTTAAAGTATTGATGAACTCTCAAGTTGCCTCATAAAGTATCAATTTATCTATTTTGCCTCTCAAACTATGTTTATGATTTCGATGTGATCATTTTACGAGTCTACAGCTAAATATTTAATAGATTAATGATGTAGTACTGTTGTTTTATTTCTTCATGGGTTTTTATCCGTTTATCTCCTTTTTCTCCAAACTAAAAAAAATATTTTTTTTAACTGCTTCCCCAGTCTTTTTATCCTTGAAACGCTTTTCATGAATGAAAAACTCATTTTTTAGATAGTAAAAAAATAAAAAAATTGTTAAAATTTTTATCACGTCATTAATTTGTCAACTATCTGACTATATGTTCAAAACATGATCAGATTGGGTACATATACATAGTTTAAGGAGGAAATAGGTAAATTGACACTTTAGGGGGAAATTTAAAAATTCACCAATACTTTAAAGGGAAATAATCATTTTATTAAATATTAAACTTATAGTTAAAATACTTTTTTAGTGTACCGAAGTCGTTGGCTTTCCGTAATATTCTGCGATTAAATTGTTTTTTTTTCCCGAAATTTGATGTCGTCTTGGTACATTAATTTCAATAATATTCTGCGATTCACTTGTTTTTTAGAATTTCGAATTGTCCCGTTAAAACGTTAATTTAAGTCCATATTGTAATTTTTTTTTTAAATCAGGGCAAGGACATTCTTGTAATTTGATTTAAAATGCTCCTACCGCTTCGAGAAATCGCCAGAGCCTGCTATCAATTCTCGACCTTTCTGGAAGTATCGAACTCCACACCTCTCTCGAACTTCGCAAGGAGCCCAAAACCAGCGCCTCCTCCACCTATAAATTCCTCACAATTCCCCGCATCTCCATCTCAATCCGGACCCCAACATTTTCAATCTCATCAAAAATCTGCAACGGATGTTCGAATGTTTGACTTAGAGAACCCCCTCCTCTCAACCCTCCACCACCTAATCGCCGACGTCCCCGACGAAACCGAGAGGTCCGTCCCCACCCCGACTGGCACCTACGTGCGCGACGCCCGTGCAATGGCATCAACCCCTCTCGACGTCAAGGAGCTCCCGGCCGCCTACTCCTTCGTGGTCGACATGCCCGGCGTCAAATCGGGGGAGATCAAGGTGCAGATTGAGGACGACAATGTGCTGGTCATAAGCGGAGAGAGGAAGAGAGAAGGGGAGGAGAAGGAGGGAGAGGGGAAGTATTTGAGGATGGAGAGGAGGATGGGGAAGTTTATGAGGAAGTTCAGGTTGCCGGAGGACGCGGACCTGGAGAGGGTCACGGCGGAGTCTAAGGATGGGGTGTTGACCGTGACGGTGATGAAGAAGCCGCCGCCGGAGCCTAAGAAGTCAAGGACTGTGCAAGTCAGGGTCGCTTGAAGCCGAAGTTTGGTTTGATTTTGGATAAGGATTTTGTTATGCTTCTGGGTTTCTTGAATAATGCTTGTTTTGAGCAGTTAATTAGTGTGACCTGTTATTGCTGTTGGTACCTATGTTTTGTATTTGGTAACTAGCATTTTAATGTAAGTGATCTGATAGTTTTCTTTGCATTATCTTTTCTAAATGTTCTCGTTTTTATAATACAATGATCAAATTGTGGAAGATGTTGGAAGTAATTCCTAATTTTAGAAATTTCTAGAAGTAACTAGAAGGGGTTCATAACTCAGACATATTTTAAGGAGGAAAAAAAAATTGTGCAGATTCTTGCTAAAGTTTGTCACGTTAAAGCAATTGAATAAGAAGTTTCTTTCAGTTCTATAAGATGTTTGCGACTATGTTTTGCACATTTTACTATAGCACATTTTTACCATAGTTTCTAAACTTCAAGCAAATCTCAACACGTCAATTATTTTTGGTATTGATAATGGAGTTTCTTTTAGTATTATAAGATGTTTGCGACAATGTAATTTCTGAACTACAAACAAATCTCAGTCTCTGAATTTTTTTTTTAGGTGTAATGATAATGGAGGACAAGAAGAGATTCAAATTCTTTTATGGATATGAGGAGGGGTCTCTTCCCATTAGGTGTCTTTGTCTCTTAGGGCTTGTTTGGTTCGCTTAAAAGGACCGAAGAAATACGTTTCTACACCTGACACCACCTTCACGTCGTCATTTTTGTTTCTGTCCCTTTCATTTCCTTGTTTTGGTTCGCTCGGAAAGAAGGGAGAAAACCCTGCTGAAAACGCCGCCACTTAGGAAAATTTTCCCTCCCTGATTTTCCTCCCCAATCGAGAAAAATCGAGGAAAACCTTAGCCGTTCTGACAACTGCCTTCTTGATTCTCCCTGATTTCCTTTCCCAACCGATTAGCTGCGCTGGGGTTAACTCCTCGCCTCTCGCCTCCTGTAAAAAATCTCCCGCGATTTCTTCGTCGCTGTCTTCGCCATCTTCGTCTTTTTCCTGGATTTCTGTCGTGGGTTTCTTCGTCGCTGAAATTAAGATATAAATATTAAACCCTAGATCTGAAATATCATTCAAAGTTACTATTTTTGTTCTAAAATTGCTTCGTCTTCGAGCTCTCGTGGCTGTTTGTTGTTAATAGGCTGATTCGGGAGCTTGTTTAGCTCTATGTTGTTGTGTTTTTGGCTTCTATTTGTGCTCGTCATCGAGCTCTCGTGGCTGATTTTTTATTAATAGGTTGATTTGAGCTTGTTTAGCTCTATGTTGTTGGGCTTTTGGCTGCTATTTGTGCTCGTCGTCGAGCTCTCGTGGTTGTTTTTTGTTAATAGGCTGATTCGAGCTCATTTAACTCTATGTTGTTGGGTTTTTTAGTTGCTATATGTGCTCGTCGTCGAGCTACCGTACGTGGCTGTTTTTTTAATAGGCTGACTCGATCTTGTTTAGCTCTATGTTGTTGGGTCTTTTGGTTGCTATTTGTGCTCATCGTCGAGCTCCCTTAGATGTTGAGATCTAAAATTCGTCAAATTTATGCTCAATTACTATGTGTCGTACGTACATGCTTAAAATTTCTAGTGTTCAGGAATAAATACCTCTCATTGGGTCTTTAATTTGCAATTTTAGATAATCAATAATGGTATAAGGCTAGTTAATTTACTATTTTTCTTCAATAATCATTAATCAACACTCAATTTCATGCTCATTTTGTATCTTGTGATTTTTAAATACGTGTTATTGCAATATAACCTTATTTATTGCCTAAAAGTTAATTATTATGTTTTAGTTAATAATCAAGATTTTTGATATTTATTTTGTTTTAGTCTGCAAGAGTGTAGGTAGTGTTTTTGTTTATTGTAATTGTTGACCTCTTTGTTTTGATGATATTTAATAAATAATTTATCACTAATGTTGTTCGTCTAATATTCGTGTTTTCTTATTTATTATAGACAAAAAATATGTTGGAGGTTGGATAGATTGCATCATAACGATCATATCAAATGGAGGTTGGCGGAATAGTAGGTGAAGCTATGTACAATTCAAGTTGAAGATTCAAGTTCAAGCTTCATCCGTAAGATTACCAAGTCAAGCTATTGAAGATCAAGATCAAGCTTGGGTAATTTAGTTTAGGAGTTTATATTATGTGTGTTAATACCTTAAGCTCAATATAATATACACACACATATTTATTGGTTTCTATGTATATATATAATTATATATATACATATATGTTTTAGTTTGATAGTTTTCAAGTTTTACTATGAAACAATTAAATATAATTAGAAAACATATTTTTGTTTCATACTTACATGCATATATATGATTTCATCAATATCAATTTTATTTAGTTCAATGAAATCATGTTTTAGTGCATTATATGTGTATTTTGATAAAATACTATATTCATTATTTATAAACTTCAGAACAATAGTTTATATCTTTTATCAAGTCTATACAATCAGTTCATAAGGTTTTAAAATATTGTTTAAGTCAAAATATCAAAATATCAATTTTCAGGTTTTCATGTTTTTTAACATATTTTGCAAAATGATGATATTTTACAAATAGGAAATACAATTTGGAAAATTCCTCTTGTAACATGTTCATTTACATGTTTATATACATTTCCCAAAGTTTCATTACTCTTGGACATCATTTGTTATTTTTAACAATTTTTCAAAAGTCAGAAAAACACTTTCAAAACCTATATTTTCATATACCAGTTTGTGGTCGACCGCCATGATCAACCGCGTCTATGTTTTTCCCTGAGGAGCCAGCAAAGACTTTCGCGATCGACCGTAACGGTCGACCGTCAGCCTGTAAGTTCCCACGGTCGACCGTCACGGTCGACCGTAGCTTTCTCTGGAAGTTTTCTCAGGTTTGGATATGCCTCGCGGTCGACCGCGAGAATTTCACGGTCGACCGCCTCACCGTCTTTTCATTCACCAACGGCTATTTCCTACAGCTGTTGTTTGGGTCTTTTTGGTCTTTTGTTTGGAGTTTTTGGCTGAGGTTTTGGAAGGCTATAAATACCCCATTGATCTCAGTTCTCATATAACCAAGAGAATGTTTTTAAAACATGTTTAAAGAGTTTTAAACAAGGGTTTAAGTTTGGTTTAAGTTTGTTTAAGAAGATTTTAAGCATTTGGAAGTTTGAGTTTGTGAAATTAATTTCACAAGAGCTTGAGGAGATCATCTATTGGTGTTTGGGCATCCAACTATTCTCCCTCTACCTCTTGATCTATTGAGAAGTTTTCTAAACTCTATTTCTAGCTTTACATCTATTTGTTTGATTATCATTTTATTAAAGCTAGTTTTATATTGAGTTTAGTTGATTTGATTTCACTCATTGTTTACACCCACCCACTTGAGCTTATTGTATTTGTATACATCGTATATTTGGGTTGGTGAGAGTTGTAACAATTGAGTGTAAGCTTTTATTGTGTTCTCATCCATATTAGAGAACAATCATTTATTGTAATTATGTTTATTGTGAGATTTAATTTGTAATACACTTGTACATCGAGAGAAGTGGAGAAGTGTGTGGCGAGAGTCGGGGATCGTCCCAAGAGGAGTGACGTCGATTGACGAACCTAGGGAGAGGTTGTATCCGAGCACTTGAGGGAGACACGTCTAGAGTCCAATACTTGAGAGGGTGTAGAGTGGGATTGCAAGAGTGTTAATTGTAAAGTTTTCGGTTAGCTAGAAAATCGAGTGTGAGGTGTAAACGTTGTTAGGGTAAGCGTAGAAAACCTGGTTGTGATAGTAGATTTTTCCCTGGGAGTGGGGAGCGGAGACGTAGGAAGAAAGATCCGAACTCCGTAATCATATTGTGTGTTTGCATTGCTTATATTGCCCTATCACAATTGAATCATTAGTTTAGATTGTTTACCCTTGTGTTAATTTATATATCCTTGCATATATTTCATCATATACCTCTTTTCTAGGATATATCTCTTTTTTATATTGTATATTCTTGCTCATATCATATTGTATATTTATCTTGCAAGAATAATTTATTAATTAATTTTAATTAGCATAAAATCGGATTAGATTAGCATAAGACCCTAATCACCCCTCCCCTCTAAGGTCTAATAATTGGTATCAGAGCTTGGTGCTCTTTGATTTAAGGTCTAATCACCTTGAGTTAAAGATCCAAGTTATCTTATTTGTGCTAATCTAGTTATGATTGCATTTGTCTTGCTTGCTGTGCTAATCTAGTTATGATTGCATTTGTCTTGCTTGCATATATTCACATATATATCATGAATATGAATATATTTCATTTAGCCTATGATCCAAATATTGCTCTAAAATATAAAAATATAAAAATTTTCCTTATGCTCAATGGTGTTCTAAATTTAAAATATTTGTTGAATCTAGAAATATCAACTTATGGGAAGTTATTGATGTGCTTATATTGTGCCCACTTCGAAAAAATCCAAGTGGAGCAAACATGATCATAAAATATTTACAATGAACAAGCTTTTGTTAGAATTTTTGCTTAATGCTTCTGACTCTTCCTTTTCTAACAAATTTATTTATTTTGATAGTGCTTACAAACTTTGGAAATTTATTGAAGCACATCAAGGGGACTTGGAAGCAATCCGACAAGCTTTGGAGGATTCTTCTTTAAGTTCATGTGGAACATCGTGCACATGGCCACAAGAGGATAACTATTGTGTAGTAAGCGATTCCGATTCCGATAATGATTTATCCATTGATGAACTTGCTTGTGCATATGAAAGATTAATGCATGCCTACACCAAGTTGCAAAATAATTTTATAGATCCAAAAGCAAGCATGTAGATTTAAAATCCGATAATTAGATACTAGTATCCAAATTTGATGTCATTGCAAAAGAAAATACTGTGCTTAAAGAAAACAATGACGTGTTAAATTTGGAAAATAAAAAATTAACCTTATCCATGTCTAGTTTATATCATGCCAAAGATAATGCCATGTTAGAAGTAGAATGCATTAGAAATAAATTTGTTTCTTTTAAGAATAACCACCCATGCTCTACTTCTATTTCCAATACATGTATGTAAAATGATGAGTTGAGTCAAGTTAAACATCGCATATCTTGTTTAGATTCAATCTTAAAAACATGTATGGTAAATAACAAAAAGCTTATGGACTTGTGTGCAAAGTCCCGTGTTAACACTTCTAAATCAAACACACACTATACACACTTGTATAGCAAAGTTTACAAATGCTCAATTTGTGATCGTAAAGGCCACATTGCTAAATTTTACTATGATGCACACAAACCTAAGATTGCTAATACTCCTAGTGCATCCCATCTAGCTTCATCATCTTATACACATACACTTTCACATGCTCATTCTCACAAAGTTCATCATAAGCATGCTAATGTGTATCATTGTGATTTTTGTGGTAGAGTTGGTCACTTAGCTAAGTTTTGTTTTGATTTGCGAAAAGTTTCTAAATCATAAAATATTTCAAGTAGACCAACATTATTTTAAAATATTTCACATTTGCAAAATAATCTTAAAAGACCATCTATGTTTGCAAATATTACTCGTGCACAAGCTAATGATCCACAAAAACAAATGGATCTCTTTCATTGCACAAATTGCAATCAGAATGGTCATTTGAGTGATTATTGCTTTGACCGTGTAAATGCACCACATGTGCCCAAACATGTTCATAACCCTAGGGCTTTGAGCTTAAATGATAGGGGTTATGTCCCTAAACCTTTTGGTACCAAGAATACTTGGGTACCAAAACAAATTTGATTTTAAACCAAGAATTTTAGTGTTTTTATTTTTCTTTTTTCTTGGTTTTGAAAAATTATACTTTAAACTTTTTTTATTTTTCTTTTTTCTTGGTTTTGAAAAATTATACTTTAAACTTTTGAACATGAAAACAATTTTTTTTTCATTGATCAAATTCTTTTGTTTTCATGATTATCGGTTTTGTTTTGATGAGAGGTTTGTGTTTATATAACCCTCCGTGTTTATTGGGTATTTATTCCCAAATCTTGTTTACCAGGTGCTAAAAATATTTATATGGGTTGATACTAGCTCAAGAGCTAGATATAGTTGCCTCTCTTGATTTTTGAAAATCAATGATGATTTGGTTTTATACTTTTAAAGATGATTTCCTCCATAGTTCATGATTCTTGTATGTTTTGTAATATCGTTTTTGAACTTTGAAAATTTTGTTTTGATTTGTTCTTTTGAATTCATTATATAGCACAAAAAAAAATTCAAATATGTTTTATAATGTATTCTATGAGTGGTTTGATCAAGTCCTACAAAGAAAGTTTTCTTTATTGATCAAACATTGTTTTTGGATTTACACTTTGATTTATGATTTTATTTGGTTGATTTGAAAACTTATTGCGTGATTCTCATGTTCTATCTTTTGATTTCATAAATCTATTTTATACACTATGTTTTTAAAATTGTGTAATGAGACAGTTCTTTCATATTAACATATTTATATGTGTTTTCATTATCTTTTTGTATGTGAGTTATGTTTAGCATGTCTTTAATCTATGCTTTCTCACATATGTATGCTTTAGCATTCATTTCATATATTCATGAGGCATTTTGATAGGGGGAGCAATCCCTATATCTTTCTATGTGTTATACTCACCCATGCTTATAGGTAGGGGGAGCTTTCGCTCTCTTTCATCTATATGGTTTTCCCCTTTTTTATGTTATCAAAGGAGGAGAAATATTGTGAGTATATTCTTTCCTTGTTATGCATGATAATTGTAATATTGTATATTCATTTTTCTTCATGCATATATCCTTTTTGTAAATTGTTTGTCATCATAGAAAAGGGGGAGATTGTTGGCCTCTTTGTTTTGATGATGTTTAACAAATAATTTACCACTAATGTTGTTTGTCTAGTATTCGTGTTTTCTTATTTATTATAGACAAACAATATGTTGGAGGTTGGATGGATTGCGCCATAACGATCATATCAAATAGAGGTTGGCGGAATAGTAGGTGAAGCTATGTACAATTCACGTTAAAGATCCAAGTTCAAGTTTCATCCGCAAGATTACCAAGTCAAGCTATTGAATATCAAGATCAAGCTTGGGTAATTTAGTTTAGGAGTTTATATTATGTATGTTAGTACCTTAAGCTCAATATAATATACACACACATATTTATTGGTTTCCATGTATATATATAATTATATATATACATATATGTTTTGGTTTGATAGTTTTTAAGTTTTACGCTATGAAACAATTAAATATAATTAGAAAACATATTTTTGTTGCATACTTACATGCATATATATGATTTCATCAATATCAGTTTTATTTAGTTCAATGAAATCATGTTTTAGTGCATTATATGTGTATTTTGATAAAATACTATATTCATTGTTTATAGACTTCATAACAATAGTTTATATCTTTTATCAAGTCTATACAATTAGTTCATAAGGTTTCAAAATGTTGTTTAAGTCAAAATATCAAAATATCAATTTTCAGGTTTTCATGTTTTATAACATATTTTGCAAAATGATGATATTTTACAAATAGGAAATGCAATTTGGAAAATTCCTCTTGTAACATGTTCATTTACATGTTTATATACATTTCCTAAAGTTTTATTACTTTTGGACATCATTTGTTATTTGTAACAATTTTCCAAAAGTCAGAAAAATACTTTCAAAACCAATATTTTCATATATCAGTTTGCGGTCGACCGCCACGGTTGACCGCGCCTATGTTTTTCCCTGAGGAGCCACCAGAGACTTTCGCAGTCGATCGTGACGGTCGACCATCAGCCTGTAAGTTCCTACGGTCGACCGCCACGGTCGACCGTAGCTTTCTCTGGAAGTTTTCTCAGGTTTGGATATGCCTCGTGGTCGACCGCAAGAATTTCACGATCGACCGCCGCACTGTCTTTTTATTCACCAACGGCTATTTCCTGCAGCTATTGGTTGAGGCTTTTTGATCTTTTGTTTGGGGTTTTTGACTGAGGTTTTGGAAGGCTATAAATACCCCATTGATCTCAGTTCTCATATAACTAAGAGAATGTTTTAAAACAAATTTAAAGAGTTTTAAACAAGGGTTTAAGTTTGGTTTAAGTTTGTTTAAGAAGCTTTTAAGCATTTGGAAGTTTGAGTTTGTGAAATCAATTTCACAAGAACTTGGGGAGATCATCTATTGGTGTTTGGGCATCCAACTATTCTTCCTCTACCTCTTGATCTATTGAGAAGTTTTCTAAACTCTATTTCTAGCTTTACATCTGTTTGTTTGATTATCATTTTATTAAAGCTATTTTTATATTGAGTTTAGTTGATTTGATTTCACTCATTGTTTACACACACCCACTTGAGCTTATTGTATTTGCATACATTGTATATTTGGATTGGTGAGAGTTGTAATAATTGAGTGTGAGCTTTCATTATGTTCTCATCCATATTAGAGAACAATCATTTATTGTAATTGTGCTTATTGTGAAATTCACTTTGTAATACACTTGTACACCGAGAGAAGTGTGTGGCGAGAGTCGGGGATCGTCCCAAGAGGAGTGGCGTCGGTTGACGAACCTAGGGAGAGGTTGTATCCGAGCACTTGAGGGAGACACGTCTAGAGTCCAACACTTGAGAGGGTGTAGAGTGGGATTGCAAGAGTGTTAATTGTAAAGTTTTCGATTAGCTAGAAAACCGAGTGTGAAGAGTAAACGTTGTTCGGGTAAGCGTAAAAAACCCGGTTGTGATAGTGGATTTCTCTCCAGGTGTGGGGAGCGGAGACGTAGGACGGAAGGTCCGAACTCCGTAATCATATTGTGTGTTTGCATTGCTTATATTGCCCTATCACAATTGAAGCATTAGTTTAGATTGTTTACCCTTGTGTTAATTTATATATACTTGCATATATTTCGTCATATACCTCTTTGCTAAGATATATCTCTTTTTCATATTGCATATTCTTGCTCATATCATATTGTATATCTATCTTACAAGAATAATTTATTAATTAATTTTAATTGGCATAAAATCGGATTAGATTAGCATAATACCCTAATCACCCCCCTCTAGGGTCTAACAGTAATGTGAGTTAATTATTCTACGCACAATCATTATTTACTATATTTGGTATGATGACTTTCTCATTTGTGCGTCATTTATGTCGGTTATCTTAATTGATGGTAGTTTTTAGTATTGATATTGTATATATATGCTTGCTAGATATATTAATTATTTCAATTTTATGTTTTTATCGTAGATAGATGAGGATGGGGATTGTTCCGATGAACAAAGTGTTGTTAATATGGTTCAAGGTGCTGCACTATCCGTTTTTATTATAATAATTACAGTCATTAGGAGAATGCAAGCAAGACGTAAATCAATTTGTAGTGGTCCAAGTGAGGAAAAAAGACAAGAGAGGGCTATAATTGAACACACAGAGCGAATGGTTTTAGCGATAGTTGCGTAAATTATATTAGAATGCGTAGTGGTGCTTTTGTTAAACTAGCGAGAATAATAAGGAACAATAGTCTGCTAAAAGACTCATGGAATATAACAGTGGAAGAACAATTTATCATGACACTGAATATTTTGGGTCATAAATCTAAAAATCGCATTATCAGATCTCATTTTATAAGATCAGGAGAGACTGTTAGTAGACATTTCAACATGGTATTACAAGCAATTATTTGTCTGCGTGCACGATACCTGAGACAAACCCCCAATGACATTCCCCAAGAGATCGTTAACAACTCGCTGTACTACCCTTATTTCAAGGTATATCTACACTTTAATCATATTTACATATATAATCAATGAAAGTAAATTTTAATTTAGTTGTGTAATACCCGTATTATAGGATTGTATTGGTATGATAGATGAGACTCATGTTGATGCAATGCTTCCGATTAATCTTGTTCCATGCTTTCAAGGTCGCAAAGGTGTTACACAGAATGTGCTTGCAGCTTGCACCCCAAACAAGTTATTCATATATGTTTTAGCAGGTTAGGAGGGTTCTGCAAATGATTATAGGATTCTCCAAGATGTATTATCTAGACCACAACCACATAGATTAAAAGTCTATGATAGTAATTAAATAAAGACTTAACTTAAAATGATTTTTAGGTTTAATATTCAAACTTGACTTATCTAACAATTTTCTCAATAAAATTGTAGGCAAATACTATCTGTGTGATGCCGGGTACCCAACCATTCTAGGTTTCATCTCCCCATACCGAGGTGTTCGATATCATTTAAAAGAACATTCGGGTAAAACATCTAAAAATAGAAAAGAATTATTATATCTAAGACATTCTTCCTTGAGGTCTAAGATTGAATCTGCATTTGGCACATTAAAAAATCGTTTCAAGATTTTGTGTGCTAAGCCGCATTACCCTTTTCCTATGCAAATAGATATCGTATTGGCATGCACGGTACTCCATAATTTCGTTGTAACTATGGATCCAAGTGATGAACAATTCAACGATGATGATTTTAATGAAGACATTGATGGTGAGGTGGCAAATGAGAATGACAATAGTTTAATTGATTTTACTCAAAATCAAACCCAAAGAGAGCAAACTGAATCAAGAAATAAATGGAAGACTCTTAGGGATGACATTGCTTGGGCGATGTGGGTGGACTACTATGATAAGTATAATCATAGTGTAACCACAGAGACTTGATTTGATATTTGTTCTTCTATTTATACTCATATGTGTACTCTTTAACTCTATTTCTAGTTATTATGTTATGCTTTTAATTCATGTATGAATGTTTTACTTCTTTAAGTTATCTAACTTTCTCTATTTAATTAGTAATGACTGATAATACATCATTGAGTGGAAGAGATAATCAAAAGGGCAAGCGTGTAGTTCCATCAACACCTCCACCACCTTAACCCCCTCAGTCAATGCATCACGACGATAGTAGGTATTTTCTATTTCAGTAGTCGTACTTTGGACAACCACCTCATGCATACCCGAACATGACATTCTATGATGGCAGCTACTTTCCGATGCACCAACATTTGGGATCATATACGAACATGTTGAGTGCTCCTACTTTGCATCCATAATTTCATAGTCCTAATTTTAGTAGGGTACAATTTTCTCCAACTAGTAGGGTGTAACTTTCTCCCACTAGTGGTTATGGCTCAACTCATGAATCAGGTTCCAAACGGGACCCGATAGAAGAAGGGGTAGAAACATCACCAAATCCAAAGAAGAAGAGGAAAAAACTCAACAAAGAAAAAAAAATAGTGAGACTAACGGTTCTCAAGGTAAAAAAACATATGTTTTGGGATTCCCGTTACGATGATGAGCTTATTCCATTTCTTGCCGACTTGGTAAGAAAGAGTTACAAACCCGACTAGAGCTTTAAGAGAACCGTTTTTCATATGGCTTCTCAACATATTAACGAGTTAACACAATATTTAAGTGGGAAAACGTCACGAACCGCATCAAAACTTTACGTACAAGATTCCGTGATATGAAAACTTGTCGTAATCTGAGTGGTGCCGGTTGGGATGATAGCATCAAAACTGTCATCATGGATCCTGGATATTTGGATAGGTGGATTGAGGTAAATAAAATATTTTTGCACTTTCATTGACTAATTATCTTATGTTCTTGTTTTCATTGAATTAATTCAAGTATACTTTCCAGGACAAGACCTTTAAGAATGTTAAGCTTAGACAATGCGTCAACAAACCCTTGAGGCATTATGATGATCTTTGTAGGCATCGAAAATTGCCTATGGGTCTCCACAAACAGCTCAACGTTAAGGAAAGATGATGAACGTCACCATCTGGTTCACAGAAGCTTGATTGACGTCAACGAACGCTTGAAGTGAATCGGCAAACTATGTGAAGCAACGGAGTTTCAGAATAATAAAGATACGAACTGATCGGGAGCCCCGTGTCACTTACAAAAGACGAAATGTCCTTTGTGTCTCATTTATTCCACAGATGATCTAATCATTGGAGCTTATAGAACTCCTCGCCGGCTTTCCAACGCACTTTGAATCGTTCAAATCCGAGTTCAGACAAAAAAATTACAGCGAAAACAGTCAAACGGGCATTGAAAACGTCTCAAGGCTGAACTGAGGCACCTACGGTGTCTCGGCAAAGTCAAGACACCCCAAGGGTGTCTCGGCGAAGCCAAGACACCCCAAGGGTGTCTCGGTTTAGCCGAGACACCCCAAGGGTGTCTCGGCGCAGATTTGACCCCTTTAAGTGGTTTTAACCGCTCCGCAACCCCTCATGCCTATAAATACAAGCCTTATGCCTCATTTTTTCAGGGCTGGAATTATCGTGCCTCGGCGAAGCCCTGCCGGATTGAAGACTTAAAGTGCACAGATTTCAAGAGAGGAGGAGGAGAGATCGGATCTAGTTCTTCAACGCAAGAGAGTTCTTCGTCAGATAGATCTACATCACCTGTACCCGATCCTTAGTATTATCCCGTTGTGGTAATACTAAGAAGAGCAAATATCTCGCTTTTATCAAGATAAGCGCTACAATTTTCTCGATTCCTTCGCGGATAGACGAAGCTCTGCCCAATTTTTTCAGCAATCAGATCTGATCGACGGTGGTCCACGGATAAACCCCGGCACAGGCAAAGACACCCACGCAAGCAGAAGACCGATAAACGATCTCTGCGTTTGTTTGATAAAGTTGTAAACTTTTTATTTTCATTGTGTAAGGAGATCTTATAAAAAGATTGACTTTTTTATTTTATTCGAGTTTATTATAACGACTAAAGTTGTAATAGATTCGATAACAATGAAAACATCAACTTTCACCGCAAACAAACTGGCGACCATAGTGGGAGCCAACAGCTTCGCTGCCGGAGCTGTCGTGCCGCAGCCGACGATCAAGATCCCGGTGCTCGAAGAGGTCGAATATGAATTCGACCAGCAAAAGTTCGAGGAGTACGTCTCCGCCTCCTCCTCCAGATCCGCCTCTCCTGGCAAGTGCAGGAGTGCCTCCTCCTCCAGAAAGATCTGCTGGTCTTCAGATCTGAAGATCCAAGAAGACGATCTCTCCGCTGCTGTTTCTGTTGCACCTTGCAATGATCCACCGGCGTTCAATGAAGCCAAATTTGCAGATCTGAACTCCTTCACGATTAAGGAGTCGACTGCTGAAGGCGCGCCAACTCTATCAAAGAGAGCACGTCAAAGGAAACGACAACGCCTCGCGCGCCAATTCGCCAAGGCTTTAGATCAGATGGATGGACTCCATTACCAAGCAGATCTGGAGCTCAGAAAGCGCCAAGTGGCTAATCTGTCGCCACGACCAGCATCGGAATCCTCCTCTCGATCTCCAATTAACGAATGGGTTCGTGTCCAAAGAACCCGCTCTACTCTCGAGGAGCGAATCCAGAAGCGCGCACTTCCGGTGAAGCCCTATGACAGCGTGGGTCTCTCCAAATCTATAATCCCATTGAGGGATCGTGTCGGTACCCTACCTGAGAATCGAGGAAAAGCGCTTGTTAAGGAAAGCTGGAGATCGTTGAAGGAGCTTCGAGCCAACATCCGGACTGGGGGTCGTACGCGACCTCCTAACAAATTGATTTCTGCAACGGCCCGCTTGGCGGTGCGTGCAGAAAATCAGGAGCCCGTTAAGGTTTCACCCTCACAAAGGTGTAATTCCAAACGTGCGACTCTTGCAGACGCCAACAAGGCAATGTTTACTCAGAGGAAAACACGTCAGACAGACGAACGCGTTATACCTGAGAATCCATGTGAGCAGCCGATAGGTTACTCCGACCGCAACGTCGATGAGTTGTACTATCAGGCTGGGGGTACGAATAAATCTCGAAAGAGAAGTACCCGGGAAGCGGACTCTCACTGTCTGTGTATCAAAATTATCAGGACAGTATTATCAGCGTGTAGCTGCCCCAAGACCGCTTCACGGAGGGTCTCGATATTTGAGAGGATCTCCACTGAAGCATCAAAGTCCAAATCGAGGCGTTTCCACCAAAGAGGATCGGTTGCTCGAGATGATGAATTCCCAGAAGTTACCATCAACATGGTCAATAAGGGAAAATCTCCGATTGTTTCAAGTGGTTCCAACCCTAATTTCTCTCCAGGAAGAAGAGTTGGTTCGGGAATAACCCAACAAATATCTCAGCTTCAGCTAGAAACCGTTGGACATAATGATTACCAAGGTGTCCATGAAGGAATACATTCCGATGACGAACTCTCGGATTCTTATTCCGTAATCGCCTCTGACGATACAACGTCTAGCATAGGACAAGCTCGGGAAGTGTTCATGGTCAACACCGAGCAAATAGCCAAAATCATTAAGGATGCTCTAGCCAAGCAGAAAGAAGCATTCAAAATCGAAATGGAAATGGCCATTCAGGAGATGAGACAAATACACGACCAACAAATTCGAGCTTTGTCGAATCAGCTAGGTGAGTCCAGTCGTCGTAGCACTGCTAACCAAGCAGGTAGCGATTCAGATGTGGATGAACACAACGTTGGGGGTGGTCCCATTAAGGACAATAATACTGGGGGTGGTCCCACCAAAGATGACAATGCTAGGGGTGGCCCCGTTATTCCTCTCAAGAATTGTCCAAAATAGGATATAGACGAGGACGAAAAGATGAAGGATCTCGAGAGCAAAATTAATGCTTTAATGTCTGCTCAAAAGGTAAATAAGACCGACATTCTGTGTCCTTACCCGAAAGAATGGTAATCGATTCCGTATCCGGCGAAGTTCAACCTGATCAACTTCACGTCGTTCGACGGGAAGGGTTCCCCCACTCAGCACTTGATCTATTTTAAGTCCCATTTGGGAGCGATCTCTGGCAATAAGCCTCTGATGGTCCGGTCATTTGTTGGCACCCTTTGCGGGCCCGCCTTCGATTGGTACCGCCGTCTCAAGCCCGGAAGCATCAACAGCTGGGAGCACCTGGAAAGCATGTTCCTCGCTCATTTCTTCGATGATGACGCCGAAGTGTCGATCAGGACACTCTTCGATGAGAAACAAAAAGATGGAGAGTCGGTGGATACCTTCATCAAACGCTTTCGCAATCAGGCAATGAACTGCAAGGATCCCGTCACGGAGGAATTTGTCTTGCAAACCTGTCATAATAACTTGTCCGTTAACATCTTGGACGTTATGGGAGTAGAGCCGCTCAATACCTGGAAAGAGTTGAAGGTGCGCGGAGAACAGGCCGAACGCTTCCTCAGAAGGAGGAAGGTCGAAAGAAACCAACCGATGACTAACCCTCTGAATCCGGGTCTCGTTTCCCATAATGAAGGGAGGGCGCCTACAACAGTTGTTGACGTTAATCAGACGTCGCAACAGCAGTCCCGAAGATAGCAGAATAGTTCGGATCCGAGGCTCCAAAAAGAGTACTCATTCAAGGACGAAGACGTTCCAGCCATCTTCGAGACCCTTCTTGAAAACAACAAGATCAAGCTGCCGCCCATCACAAATCAGGAGGAAGCTGACAATACTACAGATCCGAAGTACTGTGCGTACCACAGGAGGATCTTTCATCCCACCAAGGCTTGCTTTACTTTAAAGAATAGCATCCAAACCTTGGTTGAAGCCGGCGTCATAACGCTAGGATAAGCCAAATAAGAACGGCAACACTCCGAAGAGTACACGAGTATAAACTGCTTCTCAACACTCCGAAGAGTATACGAGTATAAACTGCTTCTCAATACTCCG